CTGATAAAGAAATCGGAATCAGTACGTTCAACTGCTTGTAAAAACAAATTCTGCACGCTCTGATAGTATTGGCTGTGCTCGAAAGCAAACCATTGAATTTTTCCCGACTGACGGAAATTGTTGGTACTGCTGCTGCTACCTGCCAATTGCTCTGGCAGCTGCACTGGCTTCATTGTTATGATGTTCTTGGTTATCGGCGGCCATGATTCCTTGGCAGTTACCATGTATGTGGTTTTAAGTGTCAACTTTTGCCGACCCCGTTTATTCCTTTGATCAAGAAAGAAACAAAAAAATCACATTTTGAATGCAAATCGTTGATGCTGAATACTCACTCAATTTTAACGACTCTTTTACCAAACGTACGGCGCAATTCATTTTGTGGATTCAAGTGTTTCAATTCGACTGTCAGTAATGATTTATCGATCTCTATGCGCGGCGGATTGAGCTTTTGATTTTGATTTGTGGCGTTATGTACCTTCCCGATAAGGGAATCGATATCGCTTAGATATTTGTCAGTGAGCTGGTAAAATTTAAAGAAAATTTATTCGGTTGCGAAATTCTTTTTTATGCAAAATTCTTTTCAGAACTTTATAGGTATATTCAAGGAAATGAGATAAACAAATCTTATTTATAGCATGCAACAACAAAAGTACATATGTACCTTACTACCAACATTTAGGCACACTCACTGAATTATTTGACCCAGTCCAAGCCCGCTTTGCACACGTTGCACAACAAAACAGTTTACTTTCCCGGCCAACCAATACTCCACCCACCCACACTATTAATGGCTTTCGCTCATTCAAAAATTCCACTCACCTCATTATCCTCGCTGCTGATGTGGTTGCCGGTATACTTTGTTTTCTTCTTGCGCTTCTTTTTCTTCTTTTGTTTGGCTGCACCTTTTCCACCAGTTCCACTTGGCAGATTTGCCGCCGTTGATGCATGCTCGGTTTCGTTGTCATCCTCCTTCACTTCGCTCTCGGAGAGACTTTGCTGATTCAACTGGTGCGACGAAGGTGGCAATTTTTTTTTGTTGTATTTGAAAGTCGAAAGAAAGGATGACAAAAAAAGTTATTTCATTCGATTCATGATTTGATTCGATAAAACTAACGCGATACCACTTAGGTCAAATGCATTTGTGAATATGTATGTATGTAGAAATGTATGTATGCATTTAGTAACCCCCATTAAAAGTCACCCTCTCCCTATTTGTGGCAACGTTTTCCGTTGCTTTTGACTAGCATTAGTGGCTATTGGAAATTGATGTCAATTGTCTGTATGCATGTTTGGCCATTATTCCCCATTAGGAGAGTTGGAAAATGAAATCTCTTTCTTGCATAAATAATGATCAAGGCCTTATTAAATAACTGTATGTGAATCTACTCACCAGGTCAAAAGGATTTAAATGTTTTCCGCGAGCTGTGTCCAATTCATCATCATCGTCGCTTAGTTGATCATCATCGATGTCATCTTTAGCGTCAATTATTGAATTCTTTTCGGTGCCACCTTGCAGTTTCTTTAGAGCACGAGAAGACATCTTCGAGAACTTGAACTGCTTCAATAACTGCTATTCACACCACGATGACGTCTTCACATTTGACTTGGCCTATTTTGTTTAGCCTCAGTTGTTTGCATACGTATTTATCAAAATTATTAAAAGTTTAATTAGTTCACTTACTTTGGACGCAACTCGTCGCTTGTATGCTAGCAAACAATGGATACCAAATTTTAGTGTTTTGATTTCGGGAGCTTAATAAAAATCAATATTCTCCAATAAATCGTTTCCTGACAAAAAACAAAAAAAAGAATGGAAAATTACGTGAAAGAACAATGTCAAAAACAGCGCGAATGAATGTGCAAAAAAAACGTCAAACTTGCTGGAAATTTTTCTGGAATGTACTACCGGAAATCATTGGAATGCACTACCGGAAGTACAAAAACGTCAAACTCGCTGGAATTTTTCTGGAATGCACTACCGGAAGTACAGGGCGATAAACACGGGCTCTCACCCTATACTTACGGTAGTGTATTTGGTCCCTAACCGATATTTCATCCCATAAGACTGCTTTTACACAGTTCAAGTATTGAATTCAATTCTGCTCGCAAGTGGAAGAGGTGGGGAGAAGAAAAGGGACGAGTACACATGCGCCTGTTCCGTCAAGTCGTTTCAACTTTCTTGCTTTGCTTTTGGCATTTTCGTTGCTTCCCATTTAAAGAACCAAAAACTTGAGTTCAACAGAATTGAAATGTGTAAAAGCAAATAGAAAACACAAAAGAGAATGATCAAGACTTGATTCAAGTACTCGAATCATGTAAATCGGGTGTAATAATACCATTTTCGTTGCCCTTTCATTGACGTTTGCTGTCGCAGAGAACGATAAATACAGAGAAGCTGCAATAGGCCGGGAAATTTTATTTTGTAATAGAGCAGAAACGCGCTAGAAGTTCACCACCCAGCTTAAATTTTTAACCAAGGCGAATTTATATAAGGTGGTGTTGTTTCATCAGCTGTGATTAGCGTTTGATTGTCAAAATTTTGTATTTCGTTAGTGTTCACAACGAAATGACTTTTGATAGTTATTTTAATGGCTCTTTCATTGAATCTTATGGGACCCCTTTTTTCTGTATTACACAAAATTTTCTGACAAAAATTTTGGAAAATGTTATTTTCATAAAAAATGCAGATGTCTAACAATTAATAAATCTAAATTTACGAAGATTTTGTAACCCATATTTTGGTCAACAATTTGTAAATTCTTCATTAAAAAATTATAAACACACAAAGAGACAAACGTGTAAAAATGTTTGTACATATAGGTACCTACATGCATTTTTTCGTAAACAAATGCATATGCCCGCGGCTGTTCTTTTTTGGCTAGGTTTGTATTTTTATGAATTTCAAACGATATTTAATAGACATGTACACCTTATCCCATTACCACCTGTTCCATTGAATTTAATATAAAAAGTGGTTACATACGCTCTCTCCCTTGTCTTTTTTTTAATATTCACAAGGTTTTGCAAGCTATATTTTTTGTTATTTTTGTATAAAAATATGGTTCATGCTATAAACAAACCGTATAAATCAAAGTTTCTGTTAATTTTGCGCGGCTCTGAGGTCACACTATTAAAAAGTGGTGGACTTCTAAAGCAATCTATGCTAAAAATTTAAGGTGGTGAACTTCTAGCGCGTTTCTGTTCTATTACAAAATAAAATTTCCCGGCCGCAGCTTCTCTGTGTATAACATCGCTGTCATTCTAAACATTGACAAATTATCTTATATGTTATATCCACGGATATATAATAGAATATTATATTATATATTATTATATGGACAGGTCGGTCGCAGTGATGTCGTTTCCTTAAAAACATGTGTTATAAAACATAAAACGCGGTACAACGTTCGCGTATTGTTATGAATTTATATCCGAAATAAGTTATACAAAGCGTAAATATCTAGAGCATTTATAAAATACTATCAATTAAAAGTATGTATCATCGATTAAAATTTTATTTCAAAACAAACTCTTGAGATAAAAGAATTATTTCAATTACCGGTAACAACTGATGCCTACAACTAATTTTATAGTAGATCTGGGTGTAAGATTTGGCAGAAAATAGAAATGACAGTAAAATTATAAACCAAATTAGAAATTGTAAACAAAAGATAACAATCGCTCCTAATTACTTGCTTTGGACATGGAGGAATCGAATGGATTAATTTATGGGCTGGAATTACAGGTGAAGTGGTTAGAATATTCAGAATTCATAAATTTTGCAGTTTTTAACGTTATATGAAGGCTCGAGCATTAACACCACAATATGGAGAGGGAAATGAGGTACGCTTTTTCATAGCCACCAACTCTTTAAAGCCGACTAATCAGGTCCACTTATTGGAATTCAATGAAGAAAAAGCAAATGTAAAATCGAAGGTAAGCTCAGCAGGCTGTAAAAAAAATGTATTCTAAATTATGTTAATGTGGTCTAAATATCTATGTAGATATTTGAACATTCACTTGGCGAAGTCTGGAAGTTGAACAGTAGCCCTCATGACGAAAATCTTCTGGCTTCTTGCTACAACGTACTTAAAGGAGCACAGGTGCAAACGCATGCAGCGCTGCTTCAATTACCAACTGATTTGGATGAACAAGATGTGAAAATGGAGTTTTTACCTTGGCATAAAATAGAGAACCTGGATACGGAGGTGAACGTTATAATCAATACACTACCATACGTACATATATCGAAAATATCAGTATGATTACATTATTTCAGAAATTTGGCGATAAGGTGAAAACCATCGAATTTCATCCGAGCAATAAAAATACGTTGGCCTGTGTTGTCGATGGAAAGGTTGTAATTTTTGATCGTGCACAATCCCAAACGCGTGTAATAGCAGAAACTGCGGGTACTAATGCACAAAAAAATTCCCCGCCTTTCACCACCGGCAAGTGGTCACATCACCATCAGGGTCACCAGTTTTTCACATTGCAAGATTGCAGTGTGCGCTCGTATGACATACGTGATACACAGCACTGTGCTTGGTCTATAGAGGATGCGCATAGCCAACTCGTTCGTGATTTAGACTGTAATCCGAATAAGCAATGTCACATTGTGACCGGCGGCGATGATGGTGCAGTAAAAGTGTGGGATTGCCGAATGCCGAAAGAGGCAGTTTTTTCCCGAAACGATCATGCACACTGGGTTTGGTGTGTACGATTCAACACATTCCACGACCAATTGATTTTGTCAAGTTCCAGTGACTGCAAAGTTTTACTCACATGTGCCGGTTCGGTGAGTTCCGAAGCCGCTAATGATAGTTTGCCTGAAGAACGAAGGCGAGTGCTTTCGGACGGATTGCTTCAAACATTTGATCAACATGAAGATTCAGTATATTGTGTAGAGTGGAGCAATGTAGACCCTTGGATTTTTGCTTCTCTTAGTTACGATGGACGTGTGCTAATCTCAAAAGTACCGAAACAATACAAATATCAGATAATATTGTAATCAGTTTTTTTTTTATTTTTATCCTACATATAATGAAATATTTACGGTAATGTAACGAACAAATATTAGCAACTAACTACATAAATTTCTTTTATCCCGTGTCCTCTGATGTACAATCTGAGGAGTCATTCGGATTTGTTGTCTCGATTGAACAGACTCGTTTAATCAGTTCATTTTCAATGGGTTTGCCATTCTCTACCGCTTCTTCCATTTGTACATATTCAACTGTTGTACTTTTCATTAAAAGATCGGCATTTTTCTTACCTCCTACGTCGCCGGAAACGGCAGATTTTTCTAAATTTTTTTGTTCAGCCGCTAGAGAACTCGCTGCTTCTGTCTCGTCTTCTGCTTCTTCAGCTAAGCTGCTTCTTTGTGGTTGGGCTTCGGCATAGGCTAAGGGATATTGTTGGTTCAGTTTTTGTTTAATGGAACGCACTTTTCGAAAAATGTAATCAAGATCCTTTTTCATTTCGGTTAACAATTTTACATGCTTTTTAAAGTCGTCGTTTGCATTTTTCAGGCGACTTTGTGATAATTGATTACAGTTTAACATCATCTCATTCGTCTTCTCAAAGCGCTGTAACCTGCGTAAAACAAAAATAGTTTTTACGTAAATTGTGAGATAAAAAGACAAGATGTTCATCTTGCATTTGTTTCTGCGCGCGTATCATGGTTTCGACATCGCCTTGATTTACTAGTCCAGCGAGACCTTGTATGAAAACTTCGGCTGCAGTGTAGTTATGGAATCCCTCAAATTCGCTTTCGGGGGTGACATCTTCCGTTGCGACACCATTATTTCCCTTTGCAGAAGGCGATTGATTTATTTGTGAAGACTGGGCCATTTGTTTTGAATCCAAGCAAATCCAAAATAGTTGCGTCCTGCTCCTTTGTGAATTTGTTTATTGATTTTGTTTTTTTTTTCTAAAAAGAAGACAAAACAGCATACCGTCTTCAAAAGAGTTACAACTCAAAATTTATCACTTTTGAAATGATGCGCTAAAAATGCACACAAAGCTTTTATTTACCTTTCAGCAATAGCTGGAGCAAATTTTTGTTATAATTTGTTAAAAAAATCTAAGGTAAAGTTGCCCTTGCCCATATGATTATCATGTACTAAGAAATAGTTTTTCGCATTTTCTGACAAACGTATTATTTTGAGTTGTGACTCTTTTGAAGACGGTGTGCGATTTGCCAGAGTTGTTACACGAAAGCCAATTAAATGCATAGTTGCCAACTTTCTCCTTTAAGCACTAGATTTAGTGCTTTTTGAAAATTAAAACGCAAAATATAGTCCAGTGCCTAGTCCCTTGTTTAGTGCTTTTTTTCTGAACTCAAATTTCTCATAGATAATTAAACACGAAATAATTTGAAATATTTAAAGCTGTGGCCGCACTGAATTTACAAATTTAAATGGACTAAAATGCAACCATGATTGATAAAAAGCTGATATTGCAAACCCACGTTCCTGTTCGCGTTGAAACTGCTAGTACGCAGGTAAATAAGTTAAGTATGTATTTAATTTTTTTTTCTAATTATAATTATAATTATTCCATTATTAAATTTATTTTTGTATTATAATTATTTGTACATATTTTAATTGATTACAAAATTCTAAAAATTTTGAATATTTCTACCACATGAGTAAAACACATTTAGTGTTAAAACGCCTTTTTCCCAAATTTGGTGCTTTTTGAAACGGAAAAGTTGGCATCACTGATTGAATGTCAAGTATACGTATCATTTGCCAAATCATTCCTCTTGTGTGGCTAGTCACCGCTAGATGGGCCTCCAAAATCCCCATTTTGTTTATTTTGACAGAGAACTGCTTCTCTGTTTTAAACGTTCTCTGAAAAAATCCCAATCGGTTGGGTAGTGTCAAAATACTAGATATGTGCTGAGTCGATGCCTTAAAGTATTGATCAATACTCGGTACCGATTTGAACAGTACCCAATACATTCGACACTTGGTGCCTAAACATTGGAATTTCTAATAAGATTCTGCAACAGCTAAAAATATGGAATAAAACCCGTTCAGCTGTTAAACGAATCTCGTTAATTTGTGGTTAAAAAAATCTATTGTTCTACATTATTTGGATCTAAACGGAAAACTTAAATGCGTACATACACATTGCTCATCCTTTAAGAAATCAACGTCTTATTTGTACAATGACATTTTTTCTCCAAACTTGAAATTTATGTACCTTGGCCAAAGGTTTGTAGGGCCCCTACACTACACAAGTATTTGCTTAGTACAAATTGACACATATAAGAATTTCTCGAATTTCTGTTCGTTCGTATCCCTGGGTTACAATGGAAGTAACGGGGCGGAGTGAACTGTCACTTAATCTGAACCAGACGACAACGCAGATAGATAAGCCAACTCGAGCGGGGTTTACCCGCTTAACAACAATAACTGTTTGTTTGTGTATAGAATGCAAATTGCTATAATGTACGTAAATGTAACGTAAAACGAAATAATCTTATATTATAATCAAGGCATTATTTGCACCAATTAGAATTTGCACAAATACTTGTGTGGTGTATTTGAGGCATTAAGAGCGAAATACACCACACAAGCGGCTTGTGAAACATACAAAGCATTTTAGAGTTCTTCCGTGTATTTCGCTCTTTACAGCCCTATTCCCACGCCGAAGACAAAATTCAACGGTTGAGTATTGTCTTAACTACTGCCGCACTTTATTTGAAGCGCTCTAATGGTGACAATTGTCATTGTTATTGTTATGAAATAGGGTTGTTAGTGCCTCGAATCGGTATCAGGTACCGAAAACAAAGTATTGGGTACCGCAATTATTTTCTCGTATTTGGGACCGACTATTCAGCACATCACTAAAGATATTCGAAAAAAGTCATCAAATAGAGAAAACAAGGCAGCTGCAGAAAAAATTGTCGCTCGCAATAAATAAACGCGTTGGCTAGGGTCTAAAAATAAGCAATTTGGTAAAATTGTCCTCGCCTTAGTTTGTAAATTGAACAGTCCTTGGATCAGTAAGAAATTCCTTCAAAACGCAATGGCGCAGAACATCAGTCCAGAGCATAGTGGCGTAGACGCTGCCAAGCAAGGCTCCAACTCCTGTGCAGCAAAGCATGGACATGCAGTTAGTAAACGGTAGGTCCACCACAGACATGTCTTCAGAAATGTCTCCATAATTACCCTTATACCTGCTATTTTTCTTTATTCACTTCAGACTTCAAAAGGAGCTGATGAATCTAATGATGGCCACAGAGAAAGGTATATCAGCTTTCCCCGATGGAGAAAATATATTTAAATGGATTGGTACAATTGCTGGCCCAGCCAATACTGTGTATATGGGACAAAAATATCGTCTATCATTGGAATTTCCAAACTCATATCCCTACGCACCGCCAGCAGTGAAATTTCTAACACCATGTTTCCATCCAAATGTAGATCTAGCTGGCTGCATTTGTTTGGATATATTAAAAGATAAGTGGTCCGCACTATATGATGTACGCACAATTCTGCTGTCCATCCAATCGCTTTTGGGTGAGCCTAATAATGACAGTCCGCTAAATGCTCAAGCAGCAATGATGTGGGCGGACCAAGTTGAGTACAAAAAATACCTGGATGCCTTTTACGAAAAACACAAGGACACATAGATTCTTACATCCTTATATGATGAGCTGCTTAGCGATGGACATTTTAATTCTCGCCAGAATGGTCAATGTCAAATAGAAAGTGTCTTCGCTGCGTCGTCTCATATAACACATTCATCCATTTAGTAGTACACCACCAGACTATGCATTATGAAATTCATCTGTAACCGATTTTATTTTGTAGTTCAAAAATGTTTCTACGATCTGTTGTCAGTTCACTGCCTACGCCGCCACCGTGAGCCTGAGAGCGAACATATAAAACAAGTCGTTTACTGAGAGATATGCGTTATTTGTAAGAACATTTTAAGTAGATGTAATTCAATTTTTTAAACAATGCTTTCATGTAATTATTTTGCTATTATTTAGTATTTTAAAGTATGTTCTTATCTTATCCGACATGGCCCATCCCAATTAACTGAATGACTCTGATTTAGACATAATTATGTAAAGACGATAATGAGGCAGATATACAGCGAAACAGTCAAATAGTTAAAGAAATATGTTTATTTGTTAATTATTTGTTTAGTTCTCGTTTATTTTTGAGAATTTTACGTTTTAGAAATGGCGTATAGCAACTTATAGAAAACAAGCAAGCGCATCTTGCGTCTAAATGAAATTCGCAGTTTAACATTTTAACACGCCCATTACAACTAGAATTGCTAACTAAATAATTGTCAGAATAATATTAATTGAAATAAACTGAACTGTATTGAATAAAAATAATTGTAACGAAGATTAAACTTTGCGAAATGAAGATATTAAAATATAATTTTATTCCTCAACAGCTTGCTTTGTAATTTCCCCCCAATTGCGAGGCCGGGTTTAGCAGGGTTTATTTCGCTTTGATGCTGGTCCTACTACTGTATCATCACACTTGATGGAGACATCCTGTGTTGTGTCGGTCGCAGTCTCCTTATCTGACTCTTCGGCATTCAAACAATTTTTGGGTATTAACTCGCGTGCTTTTATGTTGAATTGTTCCCTACTTGTTTTGAACAAGTCGGCAGCTTCGCCATTTAAAGGATCGTCTGGATTAGGGGAGGATAAAAGCAACTGGATTGACAGCAGCATTGACTCCAGTGTAATAGCAGGATTGTAAGAGCCAGTAGGTGGCATACGCAATAAATCCAAGCAAATCTTGCCCGCTAAGGAAGTTATACATATGTACAAAAATCGAATAAATCTATTTTTATTTAAAGTAACTCACAATTGTCAATATTTGGATGATAGATGGACGACATGAATTTGAAAGTGGGTGGTTGGAAAGGATATTGGCTGCCCAAAACAATGCTCACTTTAAATATTCCATCTTCGTACGGAGACCCTTTTGGTCCCGGTATATTTGCTATTAAATGCGAAGAGTTATCATTCGAATCTGCAAAAGCACAAGTGATTCCTGCAAAGATTTCATTTTTACAAAACGAAGAGATGGTCAATACAATAACTTGGTCAATATTTATTAAATTACCATGTTCCGAACTGTTCTTCTGCAGTTGTTTCAGCTCTACTGGAAGGCGTATTTTTTTAATTTTACTGTTCATATTTAAGTTTACTTCGAAATTTAAGTTGAACTTCCAGCATTCTAAAATGCATCTTTATTAAACAGCTGTTTTAATTTGGCGCCACGCCACGAACAGGAAGATTGCATGACAAATATATGTTAATAAACCATGAAATTTTCTTGTACATGTTAAATAAATTCCAATCTATCGAATAATGTAGTAGATTTATAACAAACAAAGATTTTTCACTTTATCAATGAATAGTACCAAATAAGAATATATCGCTATAGAGTGAAAAGTTGCAAAGTCCCAATTTAAAATTGTACAGGAGAGGTAAAAGACTTCTTATGGCCCGTTCCCACGACAGTCGGGCCTACGTAACCGGAACGACCCAGATTTATATCTGGCCAAGGACTGTCACTCCAGCAACACTCCCCAAAAAGTCTTTGGGGAATTTGTATGCTGCTACAACAACAACAACACTTCTTATGGCCATTTTCTGCAAGTATTTCGCAAAACTTTGAATACAACATACGAAACTCCATACGAGTGAGGGGGATTAGATCTTCATTAAAAGATTTCGTACTATTTTGGCCTTATCGAATTTTCGGAGCTTTTTTTGGACTTAGCAAATTTTCCTTGCATTCAATAATAATTATAATATATACGAGAATACATTTAACTGACTTAGCAACTTTTCGCTCTAAGCTAGCGATATGTACTTATGTAGTACGTATAATTTATACTTTCGATAAATTAATTTTTAGCGCGCTCAGAAAGGTTAATTTAAAGGTTTTTCATTTCTCATATGCAACCGTGGTCGTACAGCTGATTATCATAGGCCGGTGAAAACAAAAAACAAAAAATATATGAGAAACGAAACAATAAACGCTGTAAATTGTACACAAACCGTCGAAAAGGATTAAGGACATTGTTGTAGCAGTGGGAGGGAGCTGGAAATTGTCACCACCCCATATTTCGCACATGGCCAATTCAAAAGGTGTCGCGTGTACGGCTGTGAAAAATCGACACAGGTAAAACTCAATTTTCTGTATTTTCACGACGACACCTAACTACATATTTTATAGTTTATTTTATTTAGTTTAATAAGTGACTCACTGAATTAAACGAAATCAAAATTTAATGTGTACAATAGTGCCTTTTTTGCCAAGTGTACATTTATGCATTAAAATTTAACGCACAACTTATACAACAGTTATGAGATAAAGTATAGAAGACTAGTTTACAATTTTCTAAAACGGAAATAATTGAATGACGCAAGAAAACAATTAAAAGTTTTGGTCCGTCCAACTAAAAAGATCTCCGAGGAAAGTTTTCGTTTAAGGTCGACATTCCCTTCGCTCTGCACTTGTACTCATATTTCCAGTAATCTTAGCTTTTCGCTTAAACTGCAAATGCACTGCCATATCATGGTCTATGTTCGTATTGTGCTTACAACGCTACTGACTATCACCTGTCTTCTGGGAGATAATTTCGTCGAACTTACACAACATCCGCTATTAAAGGCATTAGCCGATAATGCTACTCATGCTATAATTGGTGCATTAACCGGGATCGCGTTCGCGGTTCAATTCCACGAGCGCACCAGCAACTTGCTTGGATGGTTTTTGATTTTCTGTTGTTTTGCTGTATCATCTTTAATCGATTTAGACCATTTTATAGAAGCACGCTCATTGTATTTAGAGGTGAGAAAAGTTCATGAATCTTTTGTATAACATATTTTTCTAAATAATTAAATTTGTAGGATGCGACTAATTTACCACGTCGTCCTTTTCTACATTGTTCGAGCATATTGTTTGTACTGCTCATTTTCTATATATGCACCGCAAGCCTCAACTATTTTAAAACATCATTAACCTTCGGAGTATTTCTTTGCGCTTTTATTACTCATCACACCCGTGACGCTGTGCGACGTGGTTATTGGTTTTGCCCAGTAGGTCATACCGGCCGTATGCCGACTGTTGGCTATATTGTCTTCACAATTTTGACACCATATTTGGTGGCCTATTTACATGGGATTTGTCGTAGTGGACCAGTACAATACTTCCTAGGACAGTATATAAAACTGAATGACAATTACCGAATTGGTAGTGGCGGCTACCGCTACATGAATGTATAAATTTTTATATTTCCTAGTTAATAACTAGTTGTTAAATTTGTTGAGTAGTCCTAACAACGTAGCAATTTAATATAAAACGTTATGTCCCAAAGGAACAAATACGAAGTGATAGCACAACGCAATTAAGCTTATCTTATGCATCAAACTAAAGTAGTAGCAATTACTATTTATTAGAATTTCGTAGACACAATATCGATTTATAAAATTTATAGCAAACATTGAGAAAAGCGAGAATAGAGTAGATCTAAGAAATCTTTAATACAACGTTTTCCAACATATTCATTAACACAGTTATAACTATGGTTAAATAAAACGCTCATCTTCCAGTCAAACATAATTGACCAAAATAACTAATAGTAGTAGTATTAATAAAAATAGTACATGTATCATGTACTATAAAAATAATTGCATAGCTATAGATATAATGAAGTAACCAATAAGGTGCTCAGATTGTTAAATATTTTAATACCTTCGCATCAGAGCGGTTATAAATACGTAATTAATATCCATGTGATATTTTAGTCCTTACGAAATACTTAAATATATAAGTACACGCAAGTACATTAAATTTCAAATAAGATATTTGTATCAAAAATGAAAAGGAATTCCGAAAAGCTTAAGCGCTGATTTCACTCACAAAAGACTACTATACTATACAAATATGACTTTTATTATATAATAGACCAAGTCTTTCACTGATAAGAACGAATTTTGTAAAAATCCAATTTTCAATAACTAAATACTTTTTCGCACTATTAGATAAAATATATAGTGCATTCGTTGCTAATGCACATCGTTTTAAAACTTTACATACATATGCATATTTAGTAAGTCTTAAAAGTGGAAATTGCTAGCTGCTATATTATATTCGAAAAAATTTAAATATTTTTACTACATATACATACGGTCTGTAATGTAAATTTTAAGTGAAATTCTTTAAAATTTAATGTTTTTATGACAAAATTAGTGCTTGCCTTAAATAAATAAAATGCTTCTAAATCGAATTTAAAAAAGATTTAAAATCTTACATATCGATGGTCCTCTGCAATAACATCACAATTCAAAATTCAACAAATAAAATCCACTGCTACTGTTAAGTTGCTCATGTCTCTAATCCTTGCCTTATCCATGTCTAATCCTTGCTAAAGTAAACAGTAAGGATTAATGCAGTAAGACCCCTTTCAGACACGTCAAGTTTCAAGCCTGCTCGTTTTAGGTTCGAAGGAGGTGAGAAAAGAGGGGAAGAGCACATTCGTCTCACCTCCTTCGCCTACGAACGAGCAGACTTGAAATCAAGACTTGACGTGTCTGAAATGGGCCTAAGTAGTAAGGGTTATACATGGATTAAACAAGGGTTAGAGGCAATATCGCACACCATCTTCAAAAGGGTCACAACTCAAAATAATACGTTCGTCAGAAAATGCAAAAAACTATTTCGTAACACATGCTAATCATATGGGCAAGGGCGACTTTACCTTAGTTTTTTTTTTTTAACAAATTATAACAATAATGTGCCCCAGCTTTTGCTGAAAGGTAAATAAACATTTACATTTTTCGCATAATTTAAAAAATGCCAAATTTTGAGTTATGACTCTTTTGAAGACGGTGGGCGATATGTACATATGTACATAATATGTAAACTCATTATAGGTTGGGTAGCTATTTAAATTTTCTCCGCTAGACCCCACCTCCAGTACTCGTAAGTATGAAAATCTATAATAAATTAAAAAACGTCATAATTCAAATCTGTATGTATATTCTAGCCATAATATTTTAATTTGCTTCTTTGGGCCATTATTTTTGTACCGAAATTCTGTTGTTAACTGCCGATTCTGAGTTGACTACGCACTGTGAATTTGGCCCTTAGCCTTGGCCAATCTCTTGTCAGCACATGAATGCATTTTTTCAAGGTATCTTTTTGAACAACGAAAGTATTCTATCACTCTCGCTGAAACGCTGCTGAGTGTTGTTGTTGTTGTTGTTGTTGTTGTGGCTAACACAACCCCGCCTAGATCGGCTAGCCCCTCAATCGGTGCCGTCAAGCTAAACTAACGGGAGACCCAGGAAGCGTACATCTTCGATGGGGTTTCTCCATAGGGACTGGCGTTAGTTGGGTGGGATTTAGTGGGCATGCGAAGAGATTACTCGAGTCATGGGGTGTCTCTCCGCATGCCGGGTACTCGTTTGGCACATCTACTATTTTTTGAACCTCTGGACTTCGGCCGTCAGTTCGTATAGATGGCTTCTGACGTTCCGTGGCGAGTGCTCCGCCGCAAGCAAGTGTCTGTTCGGGTGCCCACGTCGGTTACGCCCGCCCTACTAAGAATTGTTTACAGAGCATTGTGTTATACTCCCAGACGGGGAGCATTTGAGCCTCGTCATGTAGATGACGTTGTGGCGACATCAGAAGGCATCCGATCCCTGTCCGGACATGTCGGTAGCCTCGTCCACTGCGTCCTACTAGTCCCCGGCGAGCACACAGACGTTGCGTAGCTTAGACTATAGAAAATTTTTTCTGAAAATTTTCGGGTTATTGGCCGTCGGAATTTGTACGCCATCGACTTGAATTTCCAGCTGTAGTCTGACCTTCTTCGTCCAGGAGGTAAAAAGGGATCCCTCTGGTAGTTGAGGGAGCTTTAATATACAAAAATTAAACAGCAGCGGGGAAAGGACACCACCCTGTCAAACCTTCTGTTTAATTATCCTCGCTTTGCTGGTTTTATCTCTAAAAATGGCTGACAAATGTCCACCACTGCCTTCTGGTCACTCAACGTTCGGATGCAGCGTAAATTGTTGGCTAAAGTAGCTCGCACATCGCTCCAGGTCCGACGAGGCGCGGTCTCCCAAAGAGATTTCAACTCTGTCGTCACGCTTCGTCGGGTTGGACAATAAACTTACGGTTGACCAAAGCTTACTCACCACACCAGAGGTGGATTTGCAAGTCTTCAGATACTCTTTCCTTGCCTGCCGAGTGGTGACCGCTATTAGAAACAACTTTTCTGCTTTTTATTTTAGGAAAATAGACGTTGACTTTTTTGATTGTTTTTTTAGCAAACGATCTTGCGTATACATATTCTTCAAAAATTGTATACAAATTTTTCAAAATTTGTATACAAATTCTGGTTAAAATGCTCGAAATTTAGATAAAAATTTGAAAAAAATTGTCTAAATTCTGTATAATGTTTGAAAGTGTGATTTAATGCGGTTTTGGTTAAAGCAAAAAATAAAACAAAAAAAAAAATTTAGATTGAAAATCATTGTAAATATTAAAAACAAAACCATTCATACACTTTTGACCGCCAGTGTATATGTATGTATGTCTGTATATCTACGAAACACAAATTATGTATGTATGTATATATGTATGTACAGCAGTATCGATCTTGTATCCAAAACCCTATGTATGTAATGCTCATAAAACCTCCTTTTTAACCGTTTAAACAAAAAAAATATTTAACATTAAAATTACATACTCATGTACACATATACATACATACATTTTTATGTCATTCCACTCACATACTCTTCAGTACACATCATATTTAGTGCACATAACATATTTTCTCTAGTGAATTATTAAAATGGAGGAATGTATGTATGTATGTACATATTTAAAATCTATTCTTAGCACTTGTCTACACCTATGCAAATTAAAAATAAATTTGTTTCTTCGTTCTGCATCATTAAAAAAAAAAAAACAAAAACAAGAATAATTTAGAATACTTTTAAACAAAAAAACTCTTTAAAATTAAATATGTAAGTACGTCCATGCATATGTATGAAAATTCTTTTTAAACATTGATTTGTTGCACATCTGCTGTTTGGGCGGTCGCATGCAACAAATTTTTGCGATCAGTTCAGCAGTTGCAACAATAAGAAAGTGCAATGAATGTGTGGCCGCCAAAATGGAACGGAGAAAGATTCAAATTCATTGCGGCGTTTACCGGATGGCTAATAAAAACACCTTCATCGTGGCATCCCTCACTTTTTGTATTTGTGGTTTTAGTAAATACGTAATAAATTTACATATATATACATATAGATATACACACTCTTGTGGTCAGTTGATTAAGTAAAGTGACATTTTGACAAGTTTTAGCTATTTTTCGTTTGTTTATTTATTGTTTATACTTGTTTTTATAAAAGTCTAGCACATTACATAACCAGCACCACATAAATTCACATTTTAAACTTCGTACAAAAATTATAAAAGTTCAACAAACTTAAGCAATTACATCCATTTTAAAATTTGTATACAGAATTTTTAGAAAAATTTTAGGTATGCAGTTTTATAGCCCATTAAATTTTAGTAGAACAAAGTCCAAATTTCAAGACGCTAAAAAATCGCGTTGATTTTTAGTAATTTTTTTGTTTTGTTGACGGTGCTAGTCATTTTCTTCCATATAAAAGTAATTGTCGTGCATAGTTGAGATAGAAGAAAATGCAACAACAAGCAATTTATTGCACTCCCAGAGAGTGTAAAGCTCGCCCCCCGAGACACACCAACGAACGCTGTCAACAACGCCGACAATGTTTAATCTCTACATGCAAAAACTCCATTCGCCACTAGCTGGAGACAAGGCCCAAACATCGACAGCGTTTACGAGAAAATTACTGACTACCTCACCGATCTGTCAACCTTCTTCCCTACCAGAGACCTCGACATCTCCGACGCGAAATTTACCGTCACACTCTTCACCAAATGGACTAACGAGATCAGGCTCGAAGTAGACGTCTACGTCGACGGCGCCAAAGGACTCAACAGCTATCTCGCTCAGTTGAACTCAGAAGAGGCAAGCACCTGCCTAGCATGCGAGAAAGGTCCACATAACACCCAACATCTCTTCGCGTGTACCTCCAATCGGCGACTCTAACACTGGAAGTGCTCAGCCTATCGATCGGTGTTAAAAATTATTTCCGAAATTTTAAACAAAAAAATACCCAATTACAAATACACAATTACAAAGTTTTGCAGAACTAAAAACTAGAGAATTTGAAACTCGAAAGCATTTTTGATAGGAAATTTGACAAGTTCCGTCCAAGATTCAAGATTTTCGAAGTCTTTTGCAGCTTGATGAAAATCGCCTTTTATTTCGAACTTCCTTGGCCCGACTAACGACCAGGTTACTTAAAAAGTCAAGTCAACAATCACAGTGCACTATGGTCTGGCGACTAGCATTTGCTGGCCAAAAGTCGGAAAGTAACCAAATTGATTTGAAACTTAATGTTTGGGGGATTTTGAGGTCGCTGATTTGATGTCAGATTTTTTAAATTCAAAATGGCGGATGCAATATGAAGAAAAAATTTTATCATTTTTTCCTTTTCACCACAAACTGATATTTATAAATGGGGGATTTTCAAGGTTGCTGATTTCGAATCCGATATAAGATTGTTGGAATGTAAAATGGCGGATACAATATGGCAACCAAATTTTACAATTTTTCCCTTTTCGCCATAAACTCATATAAAAGGATATTTGTGTTTGTATTTGGATTTTATTTGTACAAATTTGTACTTATTTACTTGAAAGGACACTGGCAAAACAAGTATATTACTTATAATAAGGCTAGATATTTATAAAGTAAAAAAAAAAATAACGTAACCTACAAATTTGAACAAAAAATGCAAAAATGCACGTACACAATTACCTACTTCCATATCATTCTTGCTCTTTCCTTTATGTAGTTGTTATATTCTTCGAATGTGCTTCCTTTAATGATATTTTACAGCAAAATATTTAAAACAGCCTTCATTTTCAAAAGCCTTTTTTTCAAAAGCTTTCACCGCACTTCTTTCAGATAATTGTGAGCAAAAATTTGTCAAAAACATTTTGCACCATAGATTAATATATACATACATATACAAAAGAATTGTTCAGGCACACTGTTTGAAAATTATTGAG